TGGGTCAGGTGCACCTTAGCCTTCAAGCTGCAGAGAAGTAAGGAGTTGTTTACAGATGGTATACAGTATGAAGAAGATGGTGTAGTGAGAGATGAGACTGGAGAGTTAGGGCTGTACCATGAAGTGCATGTTAAGGACACTTGTTATCTGTGTGGAGACACTGTAGGTTTTAAACAAAGGAGAGAATTGTTGTTGTGATCTATGCACAACAAAATAAAACACTACCTGATCCTGCACCATCCTCACTATCATTGTTACACTTGAGCCCATTGCTGCTGCCACTGTGCCTATCTACCTCATTGAGGTCTTCCTCTTTTCCCCTCACCCTTTACTTTACCAAACATGCCATCATTCTCTAAGATCTGGTCCCTCCTGATAATATGCCGAGTATGAGAGATGAAGTCTGGCCATCCTGGCTTCTAAGGAGCATTCTGGCTGTGCTTCTTCCAATACAGATTTGTTTGTTCTTTTGGGGGTTCATGGTACTCTTGAGATTTTATTCCAACACACTAACTCAGGTGCATCAATTCTTCTATGATCTTCTTTATTCATGGCCCAACTTTTCACACGCATATGAGATTATTGAAAATACCATGGCTTGAGTCAGGCACAATTTAGTCCTCAAACTGACATCTTTGCTCTTTAACACTTTTAAGAGGTCTTGTACAGCAGATTTCTTGATTGCTACTTCCATGAATGTTGATGGTAAATCCAAGCAAAATGAAGTCTTTGACAACTTCAATCTTTACTCCATTTATCATGGTGTTAGTTATTGGTTCAGTGGTGAAGATTTTTGTTTTCTTTACATTGAGGTACAACCCACACTGAAGGCTTTGGACTTTGATCTTCATCAGTAAAAATTTCAAGCCCTCTTCACTTTTAGCAAGCAAGGTTGTGTCATCTGGATATCACAGGTTGTTAATAAGTCTTCCTCCAATATTGATGCCATGTTTTCCTTCATATAATCCTGCTACTTGGATTATTTGCTCAGCATACAGACTGCATGTTGTTGTTGTTGTTAACTGCCATTAAATTGATTCTGACCCATAGTGACCCTGTACAGGGTTTTTATGCCATGACCAGTGATCTTGAATTGCCAACCTTTCCAGTTCGTACCAATTTTGTAGTCCAGTGCATTAACCCACAGCACTACACCAGGACTCCATAGGTTGCCTAAGTATGGTGAAATAATAGAATCCTGGCACATATCTTTCCATTCAATAGCCTCTTGTTCTGCATTCTTTCATACTTACTCAAGGTGCCTACTATGGGCCAAGAAACAGTGCTAGTGACACAGTGGATAAGCGATCATTTACTAACTGAAAGAATTAGGTTTGTGTTTTAGAACAGTCATTTTTACTATAATGTGAGCAATGCTGTGGAAAGGTCAGAGAGAAAGGATTCAGGGATGATATCCAGGTTTTGGCCGGATACCTATGTGGATGCTGCTGCTATATGCTGGGTAAGGAAACACTCTTTCTGTTTCCTTGTTTTTGTTTTTTTTTTTGAATTTTTGTTGTTGTTGGTATGAAGGGCTGCTTATGGGAGAAATGATATCATAAGTGAAAGACTTTAAAGTTAATGAAATCACCTGAATTTATTGATAAGCATTATCTAATATTTCATGAATCATTGTGTGGCACTGTAGAATAAACATTGAATTGGTAATTACAAGGTTGGTGGTTCAAAACCATGTAACACTGTAACACTTCTTAGAAACCCTATATAGGACTGTTATGAGTCAGAACCCATCAGAACCCACTCAATGGCACTTAATAACAACAAAAAATTTTCATGGGTCATCACCAGTTCAAGAGGTTTTAATTCTAGTCCCAGCTTTGCTATTTTTTAGTTGTATGAAGTTGGATAGGTCACCTTGTCACTTTGATATCTATTTCAGCATCTCTAAAAAAATAATACGTCTTCTCATTCATATTCATTCAACAAATATTAAACATATTACACAAGCCACTACACATCTAGCTAGGTACTGAGAATACTTCAATGAGAAGATGCTTTTGCCTCAAGGAACGTATACTTTAGAGAAACAATCATTCTATGGATAAGAAACTATGACATACCACTTATTGTACTAAGGATATAGAAACGTCAATGAAACAACAGGGGAAGAAGTTTATTGGTGAGGTCAAGGTAATCACAGAAGATGTAAAACTTGATTGAAGTTAAAAAATAATTTTATTTTGATTTGAGAGAAAATTTACAGAGCAAATTTGTTTTCCTCTTAATGATTCTTGCATATTTTATTTTGCGACACCGATTTCAGTCCCCACAATGTAACAAAAAGCACCTTTCCCACCTCTTTCCTGTGTTTATTGTTTATTCATCCTTCTTTTCTATTAATTTTTGCTTTTGTGTTTTATCAATAGGCAAATGCTGCCCTCTGATGTATGGTTGATAGTTATAAGGAATATTTACCTCCCTGGGAAAAGTAAAGATTAGCCCACTAAGCAAAGACAGTTGACAGAATGTTCAAAATATGGCAAATTACCATGCAAATCTGAGCAATAGTATACTGTATAACATGTTTGTTGAATGTTGAGGTAGTAGTAAATATTGTTCCAGTGATACAGGTATTACCAAACTATTACCATCTGTTAGTTTAATTATTTTGGTTTGTTTTCTTTCTTTTTTTTTTTTTTAGTGTTCCTCTGAACAGCAGGGAGAATATCTCCGATCCCACTTCACCAGTGAGAACCAACTTTGTGTACAATTTATCTGATGTGTAAGGAATTTTCCTTCATCATTACATAGACATGAAAGTCAATAACTTTTGATTAACCTTCTTAGTAAGAATGTTAAAAAAATATATTGTTGTATCAACATTACAAATATAATTGTTACTTTAAAATAATAATTATTTTAATTATCATCACATATTCATAAATGTTTATCACAGATAAAATCATCTATAAATCTATTCTAAAGAAGAAGTTATTTTTAGTACAAGAAGGGCCAGTTTACTTGACCAGTTCAATAAGTGGACTTCAGACACATGAACATGCAGCCAGCATCCAACAGTAGTTTTTAATTCTGTTTTAATTCTCTGTTACTATCCATTTAAACATGTTGACAACTGTAAACAAATCTAACACAGTAGAAGTTGCTGGATATATAGGCAAAACAAGAACATATTACTCATTATATTGCTTATTTTTTAGTTATCTAGTAAAGGTTGAAGAATCTCATAAACAATGCTGTCTTGTAGAGCTGCCGAGGTCAGAAAGAAGTCATGTTAGAGCTGGAAGAACGAATTGATCTTAGATAGAATGTGTAGTTACTCAGATCTTGAGGCAACATTTGATAGGAGTGTCTAATGCCGGCGTTCATTTTTCAGCTGTAAGAAATGTGACCCTGTAGAAGTGGAGCTGGACAATGAGGTGGTTACTGCCTCTCAGAGCAATATCTGTGACGAAGACAACGAGACTTGCTATACTTATGACAGGAACAAGTGTTATACTAACACTGTCCCACTGCTCTATGGCGGCAAGATCAAAATGGTGACAACAGCTCTAACCCCAGATTCCTGCTATCCTGACTAATTGAAGTCAATGCCGACAGCACAGCTCGCTGCTTATGTGGAAAGCCTCTCCATTTCAAACAGAATGTTATTATAATGACCACCATGGAAATTAAAATCATGATTTTTTTTTTGATAATGTAAAACTCACTTTTCCCCAAAAGTAATTGACATAGTAACATTATTGTATTTATTAGATACTTCCTTCTGAATAGTATTTCCACACTACATGTTGAAATCTCTCAATTACCAACACGGCTTTAGGAATGTAATTTCTATCCTGAAAAAAATGGACATGGGGAGAATATAAAATTCAAAGAGAAAACAATAAGGAGACAGAATGAAATTTTGCCTCTTTTGGGGGGCTTTGAATTGGAGGGCCATAGCTTTTACATATTCTTTTTGCTTTTAAAAAAGTATTACTGTGTAGAGAAAATTTATGTATAAACAGGTTAATATAGGTATTAATTAGAAAGGTAAAAATTGGAAAATGTATTGAAACTATAAACATTGTTTAAAATGGAGCTCTAATACTTATGAAATGAATTAGCAGAAATTGATACTGTTAAATGCATACTTGAGAATATTTATCTTGATATAACACATATTTGTCAACTTACGATACAGATTTTTCATTTTTTGGTAAAAATTTCATTTTGATAATCTGGTTACTATAAGAAAAAGCATCCATTCTGTAACTTAATCTAATGAAATTTGACTTCCAAAATATGTATTCTCTAGCACAGTTTGACCAATTAAATAGATTTACAAGCATATACCTGTGTGAAATAATTTATTAGTAAAAAGTTCCTCTGTGTTACCATTCTTGTAAGTTAACATATAACTTACTATTGATGACAGTTTGAAGTATGTAAAGGTAAATATTTGAGGTGGATTAGTAATTTTAGACACAAAATTAAATGAAAAGACAAGGTCCCTCTTGATAAAACACATGACAGAAACAACTGGTATATATGTCTATGGAAAGTATATCTGGATTTGAAGTATATTAAAAGTCATTCTCTTGAGGCATTTTGCTTTATTTCCTTTTTAAAAATGGATACAACCATTGCCAGGGAATCGATGTAGACTCACAGAGACCCTACAGGGTAGAGTAGAGTTACTCCATAGGATTTCTGAGACTATAATTTTTTACAGGAGCAGAACGTCTCATCTTTCTCCCATGAAGTGGCTGATGAATTTGAACCATTCATGCTATTTTAGGTACATTATTCCTACTTTTTGCTTTTAGTTGACTTCATTATATATTGATATCTCTGATTCCCCAGAGATAGGCTTGTTTTACTTTAAATGCTTCTATATCTGGACTGAGTTCTGGGAGGTGTTGTCATGAATGGTAACATCAGGTTTTTGTTTGCTGTTGTTGATTCTCAGTCCAAAGAGCACCCTTTTAGCGTTTTTAGCAAAGTTAGTCTGGCCATTACAAATTCCTTTAATTTCTGCTTATGAAGAAATGTCCTAATTTCACCATTGTATTTGAGGGATGGCTTTGCTGGGTATGCAATTCTTGGTTGGCAATCTTTGTCTTTCAGAGTTTTGTATATGTCATTCCATTGCCTTCTTGCCTACATGGTTTCTACTGAGATATCAGCTTAGTCTTATTGGTTTTCCATTGTAAGTAACTTCTTGTGTTTCCTGAGCTGCTCTCAGGATTCCTTCCTTGTCTTTGACTTTGGAAAGATTGATTATTATATGTCTTGGTGCTTTTCTTTTGGGATCTCTCCTGTTTGGAGTTCGTTCAGCTTTTTGTGTGCTTTTCTTCTCGTTGTTCATGATGTTAGGGAAGTTTTCTTCCAACAACTCTTCTCCAGTTTTCTCTGTGCTAGTCCCTTCCTGTTCTGGAATTCTGATCACCTATAAGTTTTTCCTTTTCAAGGTGTACCACATAACTGTTGAGCTTTCTTTGGATTTTTAAAATTCTATTTTTTTGATTGTTCTTCTAGCATGTTGGTTTTGAGATATTTCTCTCTAAGCTCACTAATTTGGGCTTCCATTGCTTTGCATCTACTCCTTTGCACTTTCAATGTATTGTCCATTTATGAGATCTTAGTATTAATCTTCTGGATTTCTAATGGCAAGTTTTGTATTGTTTCAAAACTTGCACTTATTTTATCTGTTTGTTCTTGTAGTGTCTTCCCGAATTCTTACAAAAATTTTATTGTGCTCTCCTTTCTTTCCTTGATCTTTCTACTGGTCCATTGAAGGGACCTAATTATCATTCTTTTGAATTCTTATTTAGTTAGTTCTATTAACTTTCTTCTTGGATCAACTATCAACACTCGTGGAAGCAGCAGTCAAGAGATCAGACGACATATTGCATTGGGCAAATCTGCTACACAGGAACTTTTTAAAGTGTTGAAGAGCAGAGATGTCAGCTTGAGGACTAAGGTGCGCCTGACCCAAGCCATGGTATTTTCAATAACCTCATATGGATGCGAAAGCTGGACAGTGAATAAGGAAGATCATAGAAGAATTGATGCCTTTGAGTTGTGGTGTTGGAGGTGAATACTAAAAGTGCCATGGACTGCCAAAAGAACCAATAGATCTGTTTTGGAAGAAGTGCAGCCAGAGTGCTCCTTGGAGGCCAGGATGGCTAAGCTTCATCTCTCATACTTTGGACATATTGTCAGAAGGGAACAGTTGCTGGAGAAGGATGTCATGCTGGGTAAGATGGAGGGTCAGAGAAAAAGAAGAAGACCCCCAACGAGATGGATCGGCCAGGTGGCATCATTGATGGCGTCAAGTGTGGCAGCGGTAGTGAGGTTGGCCCAGGATCGGACATTATTTCGTTCTGCTGTGCATGGGGTCGCTATGAGTTGGTTCCAACTCGATGGCACCTGACAACAACAACAACAACAACATGAACTTTCTATCACAGAAATGTTTTCTGTCTCTGCATCTTGATCATTTGTTTGAGCCATTCTCTCTTGTTTCTTCATGTGAGATAAAAATTGTTTGTTCTTTCTGGGCCATCATGAGGTTGTAGTATTTATAAAAACAAACATTGCAGTTGTTGGACCTGGAAAGGAGAAATCTCTGGGGGACTCTAGCAATTCAAGGAGCTCACGAGGTGGTTGTGGAAGGGATGTGACAGCAGAGTTCCTGGCCCTAGATGGAGTTCTTAATGGCTTTGGTGTTTTCTGTGCTCAGGACACTCAATCTGGAAGCAGTTCGTGGGGTCCGTTTATGGAGTTGGTTTCAGTGTATGTTAGGACCACAGGGACAGTGTGACTAGTTAAATGCTGTTCTGGTGGCTCTGCAAGTTTTGTAGGCCTGGAGCCAAGCCCACCTGGATTCAGTCACCAAAATGTCACAGCAAAGTAGCACAGCTGGATCTCACCTCATGCTGGCATAGCTCCCAACCACATGGCTCTGAACGCCTGGAGATCAGAGTCTGTGCTAGGGGCAGGTGATGGTGTAGCAGCTCACACTTCTGATCACCAGGGGATTGTGGGGAAAAGAAGAAATAACACCTTTTCCATTACCTGTGTGAATGCCAGGCCTCCCTCTGCTGCCAAAACTGCTCACAAGACGATCAAACCGTGTCTGGCCATCTGATTACAAGTCAGTGCCCCTCTCTTGCTGTCCCTGCTTGGCCTCTCCTCCAAGCAAGCACTCCATCTACCTCTCTAAACTTTCTTCTGAAATTCAGGGTGCCAGATTTTTCATCTATGTCTGTTTTATTTTGTCTCTCATATCTTTGTTGTAGAGGATCCATATAGTGTGTGTGCCTAGTTCACCATCTTGCTGCAAGTCTACCAGACCACTGTTTAAAAATTGAAAACCAATTTCTGAGGCAAAGTGGTAGACTAGGCAGATTCACTGAGCAGACCCCATGTAACAAAGACCTGGGAGATCAAGTGGAACAGATTTAGATGGGGATTCTGGAATTCTGAGTTTCAGAGTAGAGGCCAAATAAGTGGATTGAGTGTCCAATGAAAGAGGAAGTTTAACAGGAGCAGAGAGAGACAGAAGAAAAATGGGTAGGCTTTCCTCTTATGTGGAGTGGTGTGTCCATCTTGAGCTTTTGTGAGCGGCTGCTAATACCATGAATGGAAGTTGGAGCAAGAGGGGTACAATTTCTCCCTTATTCCATTCTCTCCTGGTAGCCTGGGGAGTGTCCAGTCTCTGGCCTCTTTAACCCAGTGGCCAATGGCACCTCCTCTCTGTGCAGCCTCTCCTCTGCCTGGAGTTGGGCACAGGAAGTACCCTCACTGCTTCTGGAGGTACATGAACCTGCCCAGAACTACTCCACACAGCTGAACCGAGAGCTGCAGTCACACTTTCAATCTCTACCACTTTCACCAAGAGACAGGTGGTGAGTCACTGAGAACATACCAACATATAGTCATCAACTAAATATAATACAATGATAACATCTCAGAGAAAACAGAAAATTTCAGTTTACACAAAGAAACAAGACAAAGTACTTCCAACAGTGACCAAAACATAAAACCAGGAAATACTATATTTGATACAAGAAATGGTGTCAGAATTTGTAAGAATGCTATTTAGATATTTTCAACCATGGATTAAGAGAAAGATCCACAAAAGTGAGGAGAACACTGGAAAAACTGTAGGAGAATTCAGGAAAACACAGTAAGAACAAACTGACCAAAAAAAGAAAAATCGAAAATCATGTAAAAATAGCCAGAAGACTGATACTAAGACTTCAGAAATAGTACATTAAAAGGGCAAAGAAGTAGAACTGAATCAATGGAAGAGTGAATTACTGAGACTGAATACAAATCTCTTAATATTTATCCATTAGAGGAGCAATTAGAAAAAATAATAAAAGAATCTAAAGAAAGCCTAAGATTTATGTTGGACACTATCAAGATGTGATAGTTAGGTTGTGTGTCAACTTGATTGAGTCAGTATTCCCAGTTTGGTAGTTGAAAGTTAACTTGATGATGATTAATTATGAGCAGGCATACTTAACTCTATGATGATTGGCTATGAGCAGCCAATCAATTGAAATGGTGTTTTCTTGGGGGTGTG